TTGGCTGCCGAGGCTCCGCCCTGCTGTTGTGTGATTCGCGCTGTTCCTGCCAGCTCTGCTGTGGTCTCGGCGGAGTCTCTTCGTTGTAGCGTGTTGCCTCAGCAACGGCAGGCTGCGTCAGCAGTGGGCGTGTATCTCAGTAGGGACGGGTTGCCTCGGCAATGGCTGGCTGCGTCAGCAATGGGCGTGTATCTCAGTTGGGGCGGGTTGCCTCGGCAACGGCTGGCTGCCTCAGCAGTGGGCGTGTATCTCAGTTGGGGCGGGTTGCCTCGGTAGTGGTGGACGCCCCTCCCCCACAGAGCGTCTCGGACTGTCTGCTCGGGATAGTTTGAAATCGCGGTTTTGTTGGTCCCACTGGGTATCCCAATCCCTGCAATCCCCTGGGCTGGCCTAGTGTCCAAGTCTCGTTCAGTCTCAAGTCCAGCCCTCTCAAGTCTCAGGTTGCCGGTTCAACAGGGCACCCGGACAAGCGCGCCCTGTGGGGATTGCTGGGTAGGGCCGGCCGCCGCCGCCCCGGCTGCCGGCTTCGCCAGGCAAGTCTGCCTGGCGTCCCGTGTCTTTTTTATACTTGGGAGTTTCCCCGTTCTGTGGGCAACAAAGATCAGTCTGGAAGTGCCGTTCTGACTCACCATTTGTGGATTCAACGAGAAGAGCTCCAATCCTGGGTTGTTCTCACAGCGCCATCTTGAGTCCTCCGGTTTTGTATCTTTTAAGTGGCATTTACGCTATTTATATTCAATGTTAGTATTGAAATGTGAGGTACTGTTGCATTCATCATGCTTTTTGTTGCCTGTGTACTTTGTGTTTTTTGTTTTCACTTTTTAACATGTATTTATGTTTTATAGATCCTGTGTGACTTAGGCTTCAAAGAAGGTCTGTTTTGATGTGTTTCCAGAATTTGTGTCAAGATTTAGAGCTCCTTTTAGCAGTTCTTGTAGTGATGACTTGATCAAATTCTCTCAGCCTTTGTTTGTGTGAAAATGATTGTATCTTTCCTTCATACCTGATGCTTAGTTTCGCTGGATACAGAATTCTGGGCTGATAATTGTTTTGTTTGAGGAGGCTGAAGATAGGTCCCCAATCTCTTCTAGATTGTAGGGTTTCTGCTGAGAAATCTGCTTTTAATCTGTTAAGTTTTCCTTCATAGGTTATTGGTGCTTCTGTCTTGCAGCTCTTAAGATTCTTTCTTTCATCTAAACTTTGGATAACCTGATGACAATGTGCCTAGGTAAAGATTTTTTTGCGATGAATTTTCCAGGTGTTCTTTGTGCGTGTTTGGATGTCTAGGTCTCTAGCAAGGCTGGGGAAGTTTTCCTCGATTATTTCCCCAAATATGTTTTCTAAGATTTTAGAATTCTCTTCTTCCTCAGCAACATGGATTATTCTTAAGTTTGGTCATTTAACATAATCCCAGACATGTTGGAGACTTTGTTGATATTTTTCTATTCTTTTCTCTTTATCATTGTTGGATTGGATTAATTCAAAGACCTTGACTTTGAGCTCAGAATGTCTTTCTTCTACTTGTTCATTTCTATTACTGAGACTTTCCAGATCATTTTGCATCTCTAAAAGTGTATCCAAAGTTTCCTGAAATTTTGATTGTTTTTTCTTTAAGCTATCTATTTCTTTGAATATTTCTCCCTCACTTCTTATATCATTTTTTGGATTTCCTTGCATTGGGCTTTGCCTTTCTTTTGTTCCTCCCTGATTAGCTTAATAACTAACCTCCTGAATTCTTTTCCAGGTAAATTAGAGATTTCTTATAGGTTTGTATTCATTGCTTGTGAACTCGTGTGGTTTTGGGGGGATGTTGATGAGCATTGTTTTGTCATATTACCCGGGTTGGTTTTCTAGTTCCATCTCATTTGGGTAGGCTCTGTCAGAGGGAAGGTCTAGGGCTGAAAGCTGTTTCTCAGTTTCTTTTGTCCCTCAGAGTATTCCTTTGTTGTAGTACTTTCTCCCTTTTCCTATAGATGTGGCTTCCTGTGAGTAGAACTGCAGTGATTGTTGTCTTTCTTCTGGGTCTAGCTACCCAGCGAGTCCACCCGGCTCCAGGCTGGGACCAAAGGTTGTCTGTCTGCACAGATTTCTGTGATGTGAACTGTCTAAGAGTCTCTCAACCATGAATACCAGTGCCTGTTCTGGTGGAGGTGATGGAGGATATAGTGGGCTCCATTAGTGTCCTTAGCTTTGGTGGTTTAATGCTCTAGTTTTGTGCTGGTTGGCCTCCTACCAGGAGGTAGCACTTTCCAGAAAGCATCAGCTGAGGGACTGGTGGTGGATGGGGCCCTAGTATGCCCAAGATTAAATGTCCTTCATCTTCCACTACCAGGGTGAATAGGGAAGGACCATCAAGTGGGGAATAGGGAAGGACCATCAGACTCTCCTTGGGTGGGTCTCGCTGTGGCTGCTGTGGGGGATGGGGATGAGATTCCCAGGTCACTGGAGTTGTGTACCTAGGAGGATTATGGCTGCCTCTGCCAAGTCATGCAGGTTGTCAGGGAAGTGGGGAAAAGCTGGCAGTCATAGGCCTCACCCAGCTCTCATGCAAACTGAGGGGCCAGTCTCACTCCCACTGTGCACCCCCCAACAGCCCTGAGTTTGTTTCCAGGCAGAGGGTGTGATGGGCTTGAAAACTTGCCCTGGGCTACACACCTCCCAGCTGTGAGAGAAAAGGGCTTGGTTCTTCCCTCGCCTGTGGAGTCTGCATACCAGATATGTGCCCTCCTGTGAGTTCTGGCCAGGAGGCTTCTTGTCCCATTCAAATTATTACAAAGATAAGCTAGAGGTTTCCTTCTCCCTGTGGAGTTATACTCCCTGCTCCTCTGGTCATACTCCCAGTGGGTCTCTGTGGTGTTAGGCAGGAATGACCTGCCAGGGGACACAGTGAGCTCTAAGGCCTTTCTGCTGCTTCTTCTATCCCTGCATTGTGCTCGGTTCTCTAAATTGGCTCAGCTCCAGGTAAGGTGAGAAACTTCTGCAAACAGGCCTTCAGCTTCTCCAGTAGGGTGTGTGTTTAGAAGAGGAGGGTCTCCCTTTCCCCCTTCCACAGTTGGGGCACTCACAGTATTTGAGGTATCTCCTGGGTTCTGCAAGAGCAGTCCACTTCCTTCAGAGGGTTTGTGGGTCCAGTTGGGATTACTGGTTTGTCCTTGCAGTCAATCTGGAGCTAAAATTCACAAAGCAAGTTTCCACAAGCTGCTCTGCCTGGAGCTGCAATCTAGTCCTGCCTCCTGTCTGCTATAATGATCCAGGTTCTCCTTTCAGTTCTTTCCATCTCAGCCCCAACTTCATTCATTGACAAGGACCTTCCCCTCCCTGGCTCCTCTTCCCAGATCCTGGAGTAGAATTAGTGTGGGGAGATGGAGTGAGCTCTCTTTCAGCTCCTTCCCCTCCCCTGATGCCTTCTGCTGTGATGCTGGTGCAAGGAGGAAGAGGAGAAGGACTAGGGAAAACAGCCAGTTTCTCCCTTTGTGACTTCTCCCAGCAAGCTCACAGTCCTCTCTTTGGTCAGATGTAGTCACTTTTCAAGTACATTGTCTATGGCTCCATTTCTGCCAGCTCTTCCAGAAATTGGCAGTCCCTGGACCTTCAGCAGGCAGCTGGCACAGCTTTCCACTGGTGATCACGCCTCTCTGCCCCTGTCCCGGCTGTCTTTACAAGGCCCCAGGTCCTGTTGCACCAGGGCGAGCACAGAAAATCAACACCAAGACAAAAGTATGCCAAATTGCAGGGTGTTTATTGCCGGCAGCCACAGAGGACTCCTGTCTCTCCAATCTGTGGCCCCAAGCTCAGGGAGAGCAAGGCATTTAAGCTATAAAACCAATTCCTTGTTCAAGGAGGCAGAGGGGTGAGCAGGTGTGCGAGGCAAGCAGTCTGTACAGAAGCTAAAGTTTGCGGTTTGTTGCAAGGGAAGGGGGGGGTATCAGTGGAAATTTTTACCCTTAACACTTCTGAGAATTGATGTACATTAACAGTTCTGAGAACTACACCTCTGCCCAGGGCCCAAGTGGCTTCTCTATAAGATGGCAGTGCTTAGGCTTCAGTTTTAGCCCCTATCTCAGTCCCAACTCATCTATCACCTTTTGCCCAAGAGTAGCCACTTTCTTTGCTTCTCTTGAATGTGTGGGAGACCTTGCCCCTCCCTTCGTGGTCATCCCACTAGACTCTCTCCTGATGTCCTGCCACATTTGGTAGCACTGTGGAAGAGAATCACAAGAAGACCTGTCTTCACACCTGAGGAAGTTAGAGCAGGGAATGGCCTCTTAAAAACACCACTTCCCCCAAATGGCATAGCTCATTAATTTCCAGTTTTTCTCTTACAATGATCTGATAATTTGCTTAGGAGGGTGGGAAGAGTGTGTCTGTGATGGCTCAGTTAGCTTAGGGAGGGGGCTGACCACAAATGCTAAGAGTTTTCTCAGCTGAGAATATAACATACTTGGCACCTTTTATTCTCAGGTGAGGGTCTTAGTTACCAATTCCGGGAATACAGGAAGAATTGCACTCAGTGCTTCAGACATCCTAGGATAGAATCTTTTAATTTGTTCTTCATCCTAGATATTGGCTATATTTAAGCAAACTTTCATGTTTGCCTGTTTTGGAGGTGAGTAGTTTATCTTACAACACACCATGTGAGTAATCCAAATCATGTGGCCTAGATGATGTTTCAGCAGTTATTCCAAATGCAACTAGAATTAAGAGTCTACAGCGTATATGGACTGTGTTGAGTTATATTGGAACATAAGGGAAGGGTTCCATCCTTTGAATTACACAAGAATGGCATGGAAAGCACATAAGTAATTGCTAGTATGTTTGATAGAAGCTCTGAGTAGAGGAAGAAGACAATGTTGTGCAATAGGAAAGGTTTCCACAAGGACTAAGTAGAAATTGGCTTGGACCTTATTAGATGGGCAGAATTTGACCAGGAGGACAGGGGGCAGACGAGCCTATGTCTGCTGGGTTTCCCCTCTCTGCCTTAATCTCCCTTTCTTTCATAGGTGCGAATGATAAACATGTACAAGGAAATTGATCAAACACCCTACAAACAAGAGATCAATGCCAAGAACCTGGCCCAATGTTGGAGAGAATGTATGGCCATGTCTTCCTACTCCCAGAGGAAAGTGGTTGTGGAAAAATTCAACATGGAGAATTACTGGAAGAAGAAAGGACTGGCCATGGTCCCCTTGAAGTTTCCTGTCGGCCTTGGCTCCCGCGCTGCTGGTCAGGTCAGTTCTCCAAACACACATGAGGATGCCGCCCAGAAACAGCATAGACAAAGCAAGAGGTATTGAGGAAACTTCTCCTTAAGTCATATGAGCCATATGGTTGCAATGCCCAGTTGTTAAATTTCACAAAAGCCACCAAAGTCAAAGTAATTAAGCTAGCTGTATTCCAGAGGAGACCAGAGCTCCTCTGCCCACATCCCCATGGTTGGTGAAAAACATCCTTGCTGGAAACTGGGGAACTGAGGTTCACTCCTGGTCCTGGCAACAGGCAGCTGGGTCCATTTGCTCTGGGCCCAGACTGCTCATATGGAAAGCAGGAGGGTGGGACCAATGGCCTCCAAGACTCCTCTCCCAGCATCTGCAATTCTGTGTCACTGGACCATGAAATAGGAATGAGAAGCTACAAGGTTTTGGGTGCCCTGTCCTTCTGGGTGGGTTGGAGTAAATTAAATCCAGAAAAATAAATCACTTTTTAAATATAATTTTTGAAGTTGATTCACCTTGGAGCTTTTAAAGCTGTGGAAGGGAGGACTGGGAATCTGCTCTTGCAGTTTAATTTCTTTCATTGATTAAAGAAATCCCCTTGCCTGGTTGCTGAATCCCACATACTATTTCCACCTCTTCATTCTTGACTGTCTCTCAAGATTGAATGAAACTTACCCCAATGGCTGGTGAGGACTGCAACATTCTGGCTCATTGTGTGGCAGTGGGGAACCCCTGTTACCTATTTTCTTACATACACACATCCATGTATATACAGATAAGCTTGCAGAGCCCTCACAATTGTCACTCCTCTTTGCAGATTCACTCCTTGGTCAGAGCCACAAAGAAGGCATGGCAGTTGTGTTGATCGATCACAAAATAGAAATAAATGGTGGGGTGGGGGAGCTTTGAGGGTATCTTGTGTGTTAAGGGAGGAGAAGAAGCCAGGAAGAATGGGTAGGACCATCGTTTCCCCATCCCATATCCATCCATTCACCTAACTGTCCTAGTTGAGTTTTAGTGTCATCCTTAGACCATTTGCATGCAGCTTTGATTGTAGGCAGGAGGTAGGTCAGAGAAGTATTATAACAAATGGTTATCTTATTGCAGCCTTCTCGTTCCTTGCCTGTTTGTGACAGCAAAAAATAACACAGAGCCATGTAGTCATCTATATACAATTAACTCAGATGTGAGAGACAGTCAAGAGGCTGTGGTTGAGAAATAAAAGCAAAAACGAGGTTATTACAAAGGAAGAGAGAAAAACACTGGGAAAAGTGTTTGTAAGCATTGAGTATTGGTATAGAATTTTGGGTAAACTAATAAGCTGGCACTTACCAAAGAGGTCAATCAGGGCCATCTGCCTTGAGCAGACTAGTTAGGATTATCAGGAAAAACAGTCTCCTTTGTTCATGGATCCTTTGGAAATCCTCTGTGTTTGCTATGGGTAAACATGATGCACCACCTCTATTTGATTGCTGCCATTACTTCACATCTGGCCTCCACCATAGACCAGGTCTTGCCCATTTTCCTCATCAGAATTTTCTCAAAAGGTAGATTAAAAAAAGATATGGCCAGATGCAGTGCCTCATACCTGTAATCCCAACACTTTGGGAGGCCAAGATGGGAGAATTGCTTGAGGCCAGGAGTTTGAAACCAGCCTGGGCAACATAGTGAGACCCCATCTCTACAAGAAAGAAAAAATAATAATAATGACAATTAATGAGCACTATGATGTTTAAGTACTTTTAGGTTTTATCTCATTCAACCTTAGGACAACCTAGAAAATTTGTATTCTAGTTTTAGGGATGAAAAAAATCTAGGCTTAGAGGGTTTAAATAACTGGCTCAAGGTCCTGCAGCTGGTAGAGGTGGGGGTGGGGCTAGAACTCAGGTCTGAATGGCTCTCAGAGCTGGATTTTCTAGTTGCACCACATGGTCTCCCCAAAACACCTTTTGATAGAAACTGAAGTGGGATTCAGCTCAGCTGAGAACAAACTAGGCAAGAGCCAGCAGTACAAATTCATTCTTGAAGGCCTCCAGGGAAACTCCAGCTTCTCTGCTAAAAATATTTACTTAGAGCAGAATCAAGGAGTTTGAGACCAAACTCCTTGGAAGACACATGCTAAGAGACTCCATTCTGAAGCAAACTAAATAGAGGAGGAAACTAGACATGATATTTGAGTGCCTTCTCTGTGGAAGGACCTGAGCTGGGGAATTTGTAATCACCACTTGATTAGTCCCTATCTCATCTCTATCAGGTAGAGATGAATCTCTCTATTTCATAGAAGGGGGAACTGAAGCCCGTAGGGATTCTCTCTCTTGCCCAAGGACATCCAGCCAGTAAATGGCAGAACGAGGATTCAACCTCAGCACCCCACACTCCTCCCTGAGCAGAGGCAGTCCCTGCCCAACAGCTGAGGGGGTCAAACATACCCCACCTGTGTTATTCAGGCATACCTTGTTTTACTGCCCTCTGCTTTATTGCACTTCCTAGATACTGCTTTTTTTATGAATTGAAAGTTTGTGGCAACCTTGCTTCAAGCAAGTCTATTGGTGCCATTTTTCCAACAGTATGTGCTGACTCTGTCTGTCTGTCACGTTTTGGTAATTCTCACAGTATTTCAACCTTTTTCATGATTATAGTGATCTGTGATCAGTGATCTTTGATTTTAGTATTGTAATTTGGGGCGGGAGGCACCATGAACCACATCCATATAAGACAGCAAACTTAATAAATGTTTTATATGTTTGACTATTCCACCGACTGGCCCTTCCCCCATTTCTCTCCCTCTCCTTAGGCCTCCATATTCCCTGAGACTCAACGATATTGAAATTAGGTGCATTAATAACCCTGCAATAGCCTCTAAGTGTTCAAGTGAAAAAAAGAGTCACAAGTCTCACTTGAAATCAAAAGCTAGAAATGATTAAACTTAGTAATGAAGGCACTGCACTCCAGCCTGGGTGACAAAGCAAGACCCTGTCTCAAAAAAAAAAGAAAAGAAAATGTTACAACTACCCCAATCTTCAGCAACCACCACCCTGGTTAGTCAGCAACCATCAACATCGAGACAAGACCCTCCTCCACCTACAAAAAGATTCTGACTCTCTGAAGGCTCAGATGATTGTTAGCATTTTTTAACAAAGTATTTTAAAATTAAAGTATGTACAATCTTTTTTAGACATAAATCTGTTGTACACTTAATAGAGTATGGTGTAGCATAAACATCACTTTTATATGCACTGGAAAAGAAAAAAATTGTGTGATTTGCTTTATTGCTGTGGTTTGGAGCTGAACCTGAAATACCAGTGTACATACTTCCCACAGTGTGAACACTGAGTGGTAGAGACAGGACCTAACCAACCTCTGTGTGTCCAAGCCTTACTATGGCACTTGCCACAGAGTAGGAACTAAGATGTCTGAATGACTGAAATATTTGGGGAATCTGTGGGTTTGAAACTAACTTCTCACTGATAACAGTAGTTCTTGTTTGAAGGTTTAAATTCCCCCTACTAGGTCCTCTACTTACACTGGAGAACACCTGCTCCAGGTCTTCAGTGTTGCCCATTTTATAGATGAAGCTTTGCAGAATCATCTTTCGTGGCACTAACAATGAACTGTCCAGTGGTGCCACTTAACTAAACCAAATTTGGCATTTTAAATGGCCCAAGGAGATTGCAGCACCACATGGAACAAATTACTGAGTGATCTCTGATCGACATGCTGCCTTGGACATACGGGCTGAATGCTATCACCAGCAGAGTCACACAATGTAGGAAAAGTACAATCGACTATAATTGTAGCTCAATCACATGGGCCAAGTCCAGCTACGAATTACATGCACACTTTGCAGAGCCAAGGAGACCAAATACAGAGTCTACAAGATTAAGAAACAGATTGCATGGCTGTGCTACTGCAAATTTACTTAACAAACATTTACTGAGCAACTACCACATGTTTGTTGCTACGTTGCATTCCGAGAGATGCCTTAAGATGTGATCCTTCCTTTCGGGGGCTCATATTCTAACAAAGCACGATGAAGTGCCATGGAATGGGGCCCAGGAGCTACTGTTGCAGCTGGCATCACCTGACATCTGATGCACAGCCCCCAGGCAGCCAGCTCAGGGCTCTCTGTAGAGGAAAGCTATTTCTTACCTTTATTATTTTGAGAATGAATGGCCATGTTTCCAGGAGTCATGAGTCAATAAACAGTAAAACACACTCTGCTGCATCTTCCCAAGGCCCTTGGGTGTCATTATCATGGCTGCTATGCCTTCCTAAAGAGTCTAAGGTTCTCCTTTGGACTGTGGATAGATGTGCCTTAGTCCTCAGAGAAAGGGTATCCTGGTGTCACCATTTGCCCAATACATCTCTAGTTTACACCTGCTGACCAAATAAATGGAGTCCGTTTTCACTGTCAAACTTGCCTTATTTGGAATGCCAGAGGCTTCTGGTTGTCATTCACATGGGGTAATGTGAACCTTTGAATACAAATAAAGAGAGTTCTGCAAGTGTGGTCCACAGTCCCCAGGTAGCTGGGAAGGTCCTTCTGATGGGCAGAGAATTTATTTGGAAATACTGTCTTTTTCTTGGGTTTATCTGGCGATTAACATGCAGTTCCATCAACTTTCACTTATGACCAGGGTTGCTTACAAATAATCTAAGTGAGAAATTAAGGCTTAGGAAAATTTTTGGTTTATTAAGTGGACATTGGATTGTTACCAGAATGTTCAGAAGACCTTGACTTTCAAATCCTGGATTATTATGCCACTCTGCATAGAAACTTAGATGTTAAGAGACCCAGCTGATGCAGACCACACCCATGCAGTCAGCACTTCCCTGCTGAAGAGCTGTGAAGGTTGCCTTGCAGGCTTTCCTGGACCACAGTGGAACCACTGAGAGACATCTGTTCTAGGACCATATGCTGCTGATGTTGCTCTTACATTGGAGACCCAAAGGGAAGAAGCCATCCTTGTTTTCTGCTGTGAATTTCTGGGATATCCCCATATTCTAGTTTAGCACAGGCAGACATGCCAGAAGGCACATTCTTGTTAAATAAAACATGTTTAGCTTAGAGACTGGATGTTTCTGATTATAAGAGCCTTTAATGCAGTTAGCAGTCTGATTCCTTCTGGATCCTTGTGGGGAGCTATACAGTTAGATAAGATTACTTCCAAGTTCTTGTCTAGCTCCAAAGCTCTGTAATTCTGTGCCAAGATGATTTAGGGTGAGCTTAGTCATTTTGCAGCAAAAAAAAAAAATTTAATGTCTATGTATCTCATCTTATATGGGATTATAAGAAAATTGATTTCCATTTTTATTTCTCTGTGACATGCCTACAACTATGAGAATATGCATGCACACAATTATTCACCCTCTGCCTCTACCTGTCTATACTTTACTCCGCATTTTAAAACAGAGTCCCCGCCCCATTTCCCCCACCCCCAAAAGAAACCTAAACTGTTGCTCCAGCCTGGGAGGTGGGGGATTTTTGGAGGGAAATATTTCCAAGGAAAATGTTGTAACTGATACGATATGTGATAATATCAAAAAGATCATAGAAACAGTTTTTGTCTTTTCTGCTCAGGCTGCTGCCTTGGTTCACATTTATCTTGACGGCTCAGTGCTGGTCACTCACGGTGGAATTGAAATGGGGCAGGGGGTCCACACTAAAATGATTCAGGTAAGAATGCAAATAACTGGATTGAGGTGGGTGTATGCTTGTAGATCTGTTCATGAGATAAAAACAATGAATGGATATTTTCTGTTATAAAATACAGGATAGGAAGCGGGGCAGGGTGGCTCATGCCTATAATCCTAGCATTTCAGGAAGCTTAGGCAAGAGGATTGCTTAAGTGAAGGAGTTCAAAACCAGCCCAGGAAACATAGGGAGATTCCGTCTTTAATACACACACACACACACACACAGACACACACACACACACACACGTTTTTTTGTTGTTGTTTTTTTTGTTTTGTTTTGTTTAGTTAGCAGGCCATGGTGGCATGAGGCTGTTCCCAGCTACTTGGGAGACTGAGGTGGGAGGATTGCTTAAGCCTGGGAGGTCGAGGCTGCAGTGAGCCAATTGTACCACCGTACTCCAGCCTGGATGATAGAGCAAGACCCTGTCTCAAAAAACAAAAAATAAATAAAAATTAAAAATAAAGGATAGGAGATTTGAGCTCTGACAGCTTAAGCTGTTAAGTGATTAGCAGAAACTGGTAAACGAACCAATTTTGGAAGTGAACTAAAAGAATGTGGCAGAAGAGTCTCGAGTTGTTTTATTGCTAATGAAAGTTATATGCTTATTTGCTGCTTTCTTGGATATAATGACAGTTGAGTTGTTCTTTTTGAATCTTTGCTGGGCAGTAAGATAATGTGTGAATTCTGATATATTAGATTATTTCTTGCCCTTTTTGTATTAAGGGCTGCAAACAATCACTAACATAAATCACCTTTGATATTTCCAGCCAAACTTTATCTGTTTTCTTTTGGCTATCTTATTTTAGATTAATTTTAAGCTACTGTTTCTCTTTTGTTAATCATAATAGTAACATTATAGATTGTAAAACATTTGGAAGCAGCAGAAAAAATTTAAAAAGACCCTACCCAATTTCACCACATAGAATAATCATTATTTGGGAGTCTTTTCATCTTGTCTTTTTTTTCTTTTGCAAAAGTCACCAGTATGCTTTTGTATAAGTTTGTATTCTGTTTTTTTCACCCACTTTATATAGTGTGAACACTTTCTCCTGTCGTTAAGCAGTCTTTTCAATCATGATTTTTAATGGCTGCATGTGGATATGTGTATGATTTGTTTAACCGTCCCTCAGCTGTTTGAATATTTCAGTGAATATTTTTGTACATTAATCTGTAATCATATTATTGATTGATTCTTAAAATAGATTTCCGGGAGAATTAATGGGTCACAGTTGTGAGTATTTTAAATTGTTTGACACATATAATCAAATTGTTTTCCAGAAAGTATCCATCTCATGATAACCCTAACAGTGAATGTTACGGATTGTTGAAAATTCAAAAATTTGTAGATAATTTGATAAGTGAATGAAAGTATCTTATTATTTCTTTCATTTACATTTTTTTAGTATAAACATGTTTAATACATATTTTCTCTCATGTTCTCAGTCACTTGAGAATTGACTGGTCATCCTTTCCACATTTGGAGGGTAAAATTTCAATGTTTTCCTATTGAATCACCAGAGACCTTTGTAGTCTGAGCCTATGCACTCTGTGTGGATGATCTGAGAGCCAGGCCTCATGGAAGGGCTCCATATGCCTGTGTCCTTATAGAGGCTGTAGGAAAACACTTTTAAGCCATGCTGCTAGCAGGAGAGAGGTGAATTTGGGATCAACTAAAGTTAACAGTATGATTTTGCTCTCTAGCACTAAAAATAAAGAATAAAGCAGCCAGCTAAGTCCCAGTGTTGGCATGGGACACTATCACCATGTCCTGTGACTTACATGTTCATGCCGCCACTTTTCCAAGGCCATTGTTTTTTCTCATAAGAATCATTCTTTTCCTGGGGCAACTCCAGAAATGTGGATAGGAGATAGACATCTCCTCTCATTGATGAGGTTCTGCTAGAATTTTGCAGAGTATGGTGGTAGGAGAGCCCTCAAAGGTGTCAATATCATGATTATAAAAATAAGAATGAAGCATTTCTTCCAGCGTTGGCCTGGGGCCTCACCTCCTCTTTCTGACATGATCACCAGAAAGTCAAAGAAAAAGAAAGTGTGTTCAGGACTTGGGGTCCAGACTAGCACATAGGGTTTTAGAAACAAGAAACTTTTGTGTCTGGAGGAAATCTGTGGTTCTGCTCCCTTGTCCCTGTCATGCGTATGAGGGTGTTACATGTGTGTTACCACGTGGGCATGTGTACAGGTCTGGGACTAATCAAAGTGTCTAAAAAGAAACTCTCTCCTAAAATCCAGGTGGCCAGCCGTGAATTAAGAATGCCAATGTCAAATGTCCACCTGCGTGGAACAAGCACAGAAACCGTCCCTAATGCAAATATCTCTGGAGGTTCTGTGGTGGCAGATCTCAATGGGTTGGCAGTAAAGGTAACAGTCACTGCAGTGGCATCCAAATCATTAACTCCTTCAGGGCCAAATACGTGGGTGGAGCTCCAAAGATGCTGAGAGTTAATCCAGCTCATATCTCCTTCCCTATCTTGGCCTCAGTAAGGGGTACAGCACCCTGTGGTTCTCCTGTGCCAGAAATGCCACTTCTTTTTCTCCTTCACTCCTGACTTTTTACTAGTGAGCAAGTCCTTTCAATTCTACTCAAAAACATCTCTGTCTTTCTGCCTCCCTATTATGTTAGTACCACTTTGAGACACACTCCCACCTCTTCCTAGGGCTGATGCAGGACTTCTGTCTCTCCACCACAACTTCACCACCTTTTGCTCTGGCTTTCTGCTGCCAGAATGAATTTTCTCACAAAATAAAATGTGGCCAAGCCATGTCTGAAAGCAGTGGCTGGTGGTTTGCCAAGAGGTTTTTTATTAAGTCCTGACTTTTTAGCGTGGTTTACAAGGCCAGTTCTCTCTCTCTCTGTCTGTTTTGCTCTCTCTCTCTCTCACACACACACCCAGACACACATACACACACACGTGCACACAATCATATGAAACCTTTCAGATCACCTTCATATAGGGTTGGTGTCTTATTTCTTCACGTTCCCTCTTAGATAAGCCTATGGAATGGTACATATTATGTTGTTTTGAATTTGATGTTTGCATGAAATTAGGATAATCATTTTAATTTAAAAATAATTTCTAGGATGCCTGTCAAACTCTTCTAAAACGCCTTGAACCCATCATCAGCAAGAATCCTAAAGGAACTTGGAAAGACTGGGTGAGAATCAATAGTTCCCTGTATTTTATTCTAGAAGAAAAAGGAGTGGGAGGAGAGTAAGAACAATATGCATTAATTAAAATCTGCAGAAAGGTCATTTGCAAAGGTACCACCATTGCATAATGATAAGTAAAAGACCCTTTGGCTCTTAGCGTGTGGAAATCCTATCACAATGTAGTAGAGGAACTCATGCATCTGGGAAAATTTTCTGTTAGAGAGAAAGATGGTTTTTCTGCCAGAACTCCTCTTTTAATCTAGAATTCATTAATGTGTCATCCTATGGAACCGAGGGATTGTCTGGATAATAACGTTACATCTTTTTTCTCCTTCTTTGGGTTTTACTGTTCCTAAAATAGAAAAACAATAGTAGAACCATTCTGTAAAAGTAAAAATCATATAAACACTTATTTAGAAATAGAAAACCAGGCCAATGGGCATATGTTCATCCAGTAATAGGTACTCGGTAGAATGGAAATACTCAGCTGCTTCCTATGATCTGCCTACAATCTAGTTGGAAAAGAAGACACATTCCAAAGTCAACTAATGAACTTTTCAAAGTAATAGGTTATCAACTACCAGAAGTTGTGGAACGAATATCCATAAAAGCTGGGAGTGTGTGTCACGCTGGCTATTCTAGAATGTCAGTTTTTGCAACCTACAAGTACAGGTCTAGGGGAAATAGCATTTAAGGAATCCCATTTAGGAAAGGTTTAAAGGTTTCTGCTGTTCCACAGAGTAAGGGCTCATTTTATAATTCATATTTATGACATCTGTCTATACTTCCTGGGCATATTTGTTTCTGTCCTCTCCCCTGTGCTGCCCGAGTCCAATAAGCTGAGTCGCTGTGGCTGGAGAAAGGTAGAGAGAGGTGTGGCGTGGTGAGTACTCCTTCACCACCATGAAATACAGCCATTCAGCCCACTGTCTTCTCTAATGATTGATGCACTTCTGACCTTCATTCATAGACTTGGGGACTTGGACCTAACCCCCATTTTTCTGCATAATAGTCAACTCTGTGCACTGCAGAGTCAGGAGACCTTTTGGTGTAAATGGTACAATTTAGCAACATTATTCCCCTCAACTGAAACAAATATGCCCAGAAAGAATTGACAATTCCCATAACTACAAATTATAAAATGAACCCTTATAATTCATATTATAGACTAGCAGGAAACTGATATTAAAATTAATTAAGCAGCCAACCAACCATTGTTTTCTAAGATGTCCCATGTTAATTGGAAATTTATTGTGGATGACCGAGTGAATTTCTTCCTAAGTGGAACACGTGTTGATGACTTTAGTGCAGTCTGCAGCGTACCACGGCAGGCCTTTATTACGATCATATGTGCTGAACAAACAGCTACAAGCTGTGAACCACAAATGCCTGTGGAAATGGAGAATGCAGAAAGGAATGGACTAATCTGGGTCCTTCCTGGTTACTGTTGCTTGTAATTTTATTTAACACATAGGGTAAAATTAAAACTGAAGTCTTGAGTGATTCTTTGGGCATCCTTGTTGCATCACACTATGCTCTTCCTTCATAGGCGGAGACTGCTTTTAATGAAAGCATTAGTCTTTCAGCTGTTGGATACTTCAGGTAAATACTCCCTCCAATCACATGCTATGGAAGATAACAGTGGTATGTTGAGGAAGAGTTTCAGTTCCCTTGCAATTTGGCAAATGCTGACTTTGTACCTTCTGTTTACCCGTGGTTATAAAGAACATTTATTTGCTAGTTAATTCATGGTTATAAAGAACATTTAACTGCTAATATCCAGAAATAATTCTGTTAGGGAAAATAGGCATACAAAATTCAGCTGAACTGATGATTCTAACCACAGTGGGTGGTATTATAAGGCTCTCTGGGGTTAGTACTTGGAATACTCAGCAGTGGTTGACTTTCTATTGGAAACACAGTCTATCTCTTAAGAAACAAAGGTAGGGGAATGCAAATTAAACCACAAGGGGTGGACACCATTTTACACCTTCAGGACTGACAAAAAGATATTAGACCATAACCATGTTACATTAAGATGTGAAACAATAGGAACTCACTGAATCTGGAAAACAGTTTATTAAATTATTTTAATGGAGAGTGAAAGCTGTCTGAGAGCAGAGTGATGTAGAGCCTTACCTGGTGTGATCACTTTGCTGTTGCCATGGGAGTCCTGGGCACTGACTGCCTGTCAGGAACAGGCTTTGGAAGCATTTTTAATGGCCACCTCCAGGTTGCAGGGGAGCAGAGGAGAGAGGGTAGAGAGTCCTGCAAGCTGCTCACCCATGCTTCTCTTTTACCATTAATATTTATTTGATGTTCTTAAAGATTAGTTAGGAACAGAGCAGGCCATGGAGCTTGATGGTGAGAGACCAGAGTAGAGGCAAAGAATGGGGGCCGTGGGACCTGATCCTTCACACAGAGGGGCAAATACTGGAGCCAGAAAGATAGACAAAGCAGGCAAACGTGCACCTTTGAAATAGCGTTTGCTGTAAAATGAAGGTTGAGTTCCACAAATCTGATGACAATTACATGATCCAATATTAGCCAGAAGCAGTAAGATGGACATTCATTGAAGTAAGAAGCTAAGTAAGGAGACACCAGTCAGGAGTAGTTAGATGTTTTTATTAGATAAAGCAAGTTTTAAAAGAAAAAAACTAAATATTTATTCAATGCATTTATTGCACATACATTAGGTGCTGGCATATTAGTGTACAAGTATATTCCTGTGGTTTGCATAACTCCTCATAGGTCTGTCTAGTCATCATGGTCTGCAATTAGAGGGCTTGATCACTTAACAATGCTCAAGAGTTCTGTTTCCTCCAGGGGTTATGAGTCAGACATGAACTGGGAGAAAGGCGAAGGCCATCCCTTCGAATACTTTGTTTATGGAGCTGCCTGTTCCGAGGTGGAAATAGACTGCCTGACGGGGGATCATAAGGTCAGTACTGGTTGCACTTAGGATGCACCTAAATTCCACAGATGCCATATATCTGAGGAGAGCTGAGTGAGTGGCAACATCATGCATTTGGCCTAAGGGTGATTACCAGAAGAAAATAGGATCCCCACAGTTGCCTTGGTGGTCTGGTTGCTGCCACAGAAAACAACTGGTGACTTGTCTTCTTTATTTCCCCAGCCCTTTTAAATGGAATCTGGAAAGAATCCACTTGAAGAAACAGATATATTCAAAGGGGGGCTTTTATGTAGACTGTTGGCACAACAAGCAATTTTGACCTCTTCTGAGAAAGGCCAAGATACAACATTCTTGAAGGATTTCATAGGCATCTGTAATCTGCTAACAAGCACCAAGCCAGTCCAGGGCAGTCAGTGGCCATGTTTTGATGTCTTTTACTCAGCTAGGTCTTGCTTTTTAGAAGTCCAATGCACTACCCATTGTGCCACAGAGCTGGCTTCCTTTTTGCATAGTTTAAGAGCATCCTTGTGCTTTCAAGGGATGCTTTGAAGAGATATACACACACACGTACTCTCTCTCTCTCTCTCTCTGTCTCTCTCTCTCTCTCTCTGTCTCTCTGTCTCTCTCTCTCTTGCTTCAAAGACTCATAGAATTTCTCCTCTTGTACCACAGCCTTCGGGAGTGAAAGGAGCCACTTACTGGTCACTGTCAATAATAGTGAATGATCATTGATACATATCACAGTTGTCACGTGACCAAGCTACCAGTTTAGTAATAATCTCTTCCAAAATGTACCTAGAAGCAAGCTCTAATTCTTGATATTTATAAATATCCTCTATTCCTGCATTCTTGGACTGTGATCAGATTTAAGTTTTCATTTAATAAGTCCCCAGCATGTATTTTTTAAAACTATAGTCAACCTAATCTCTGAAACTATAGTCATCTTTATTGAATCTGCCTTTTCAAGTATCTAACCTGTGTGATTCTAACTCAGACTGGATCTCTTTAGGGTTACCTCGAACTAGGGCAAAACAATGATCACTCTGAGCATAGTTTTTGTGTTAGAGTAGCAGTCCTACACTACTAGGGAAGAGGGTTCTTTCATATAACTGATTTCTTTTTGTTTGTTTCTTTGTTTTCAAGACAAAATTTCACTCTGTCACCCAGGCTGCAGTGCAGTGGCTCAATCTCAGCTTATTGCAACCTCTGCCTCCTGGCTTCAAGTGATTCTCATGCCTCAGCCTCCCAAGTAGCTGGGATTAGAGCTAACCTTTGTATTTTTAGAAGAGATGTGGTTTCATCCTATTTCCCAGGCTGGTCTCAAACTCCTGCCTTCAAGTGGTCCACCCACCTTGACCTCCCAAAATGCTGGGATGACAGGCATGAGCCACTGTGCCCTGCTCATATAAGTGATTTCTAAAACCCTTCTCCCTCAAAGCAAAAGTTGGTGAAAACTTAGTCATGTGGATTTTCTTGTTCATTCCTTTATATGCCTTGTCCTTGTTAAGATCTAAGAACAAGGTAATAATTAGCTTAGTATGAAATTGTAAGGCATTTTCTTATAACTTATTTGAATGATCATAAGAGATGTGCCATATAGTCTCATCAGATGCCTTCATAAAAGCGAAATCTCAGCTCAGGTGGGTGTCATTGCTAGGCAAAAAGCCACAATGTGACATTCTACCAGGGTCCTTCCCCCGAGGGTTGGTTCTCAGCCATTCCTCTGTTGATAGAATGGCCCTTATTCCAGCAAAACTTTCCTTACTTTGAACCTACATCTAAATATCAGTTATCTGTTGTTATGCAACAAATTACCCCCAAACTTAGTGCTGAAAACAGCGGATGCTCATTAGCTCACATGACTTCTGAAGGGCAGGCCTCCGGGAGTGGCTTATCTGGATGATTCTGCATGAGGCTTTAGTCAAGCTGTGGCTGGGGCGACAGTCGTCTCAAGTTCAATGGGGACAGGAGAATCCTGTTCCACCTCCCTCCATCATAGCATTGTTGACTGGAGGCCTCAGCTTCTCACTGGCTGTTGGCCAGAGGTCCCTCCATTCTTTGTCATGTGGACACCTCTCTGTAGGCTGCCTAAGTGTCCTCAGGACATCACAGCTGGCTTCGTCCAGAAAGACCAGCCCAAGAGAAAAAGAGAGAGCATGAGCAAGTGAGAGAGTACCCTAGACAGAAACCCAGCTTAATCACCTAATCTCAGAATGATTCCTGTCACCTCCCCCATAGCCTATTGGTCATACAGTTTAGCCCTGCTAGAGTATAGGAGGAGACTATATGTGGATGTGAATACCAGGAGGTGAGGATCATCTAGAGCCATCTTGAAGGCAGCCTACCACAACCTAGCCCCACTCTCTTCAGCCCTAACAAAAAACACACACAGCACTAAGCCCATGGCTTTGTGAGTTGTTTTCTTCTGTTTTGAGACAGAGTCTTGCTCTGTTGCCAAGGCTGGAGTGCAATGGCGCGATCTTGGCTCACTGCAGCCTCCACCTCCAGGGTTCAAGTGATTCTCATGCCTTAGCCTCCTGAGTAGCTGGGACTACAGGCATGTGCCACCACCCCTGGCTAATTTTTGTATCTTTAGTAGAGACAGTGTTTCACCATTTTGGCCAGGCTGGTCTTGAACTCCTGGCCTCAAGTAATCTGCCCACCTTGGCCTCCCAAAGTGCTGGAATTAGAGACATGAACCAGCCCACCCAGCCTAAGCCCACAGCTTTGAAAGCAGAACCTTCACTAACACTGAAGACTTTAGAGCTTCTTCTCTCACCTCCAGTTAAGGCCGCTTATCTCCTGCAAGGCCAGTCTTGCTGACTGGTGTCAAAGCGGATTTTACACTTCAGCGTGTCTTTAAATAAGAGATGTGAGTTCCTGAAGTTTTATTATGGTCAAACATTCCAGATCATCTAATTTTCAAATGTTAGATGAAAGTCCCAGATCAAACAAGGAAACTCTTGGATTTCCTTTGTTCAACTAGTAATTTTAAGTACAATCTGTTAGTCATGGCAGAGACCATTACGTCACATTTTTTTTTTAAATGCACAGATTTGCTGGACAGCAAAGTGTTACTAACACTCTGGCTGGGCCTGCTGTACTCCTCCTCATTTGTAGGTTATCAGAATAAATTGTAGTGTCAATTTTAATTTCTCCTCTGCCCCAAAAATGAAGAGTCTAGAACAGCAGATGATAGTTCAAAGACCTTTTTGTGGATGCACCCCAAACCTTGTGGTTCAGTAAACATTCCTCAGCCAGTTGTACCTGGAAGTTGGGCTGTGTGCTAGCCATTAAGCTTTGCAGCTAGGATCGTGAGAGCCATACATGTTTTCTTTTGTTGTGTCGTATATCTGTTGTAGTGAATTAAACTCAATCTGTTGCATCATCCAGCTTGACTCAAAATCAAGTAATTTTTTTTCTCCTATTATTTCCAAGGAAAAACTAAACAGTGCTTCAGCAGGCTAAGAGTATTTGTATAATTTTGAAAGTTTTACATAATAAACTTTGTCATATAATAAAATCTTTGTTGCCTCTTCTGAAATGACATGGCTCAAAGAAAAGTCTTTACACCAAAGTCAGCCTGGCAGGAAGTGTTCCTCAGCTTCTTCTCCCTAATATTTCTTCATTAAAATAAACATTTTAACTTTTTTTTTATTACTAGAACATCAGAACAGACATTGTCATGGATGTTGGCTGCAGTATAAATCCAGCCCTTGACATCGGCCAGGTACATGTAACTGATGTGTCTCACTTTGTATTTGTAAAAGCCAAATGTGCAGTGGGGTCTGCAGGGGAGCATTTTGTCAGGCTTAGTTCATCATCTTATTTTTCTACCGCTTTAGTCAACTCTATTCGAAACAACTGCAGAGCTCAAATGTCTTGCTGTTTAAAAGGGAGAAGGAAATAAAGGTGTTTTAGGTAGTTTTTGAAGGAGCATACAATCTGTGACCGGGGAGCATGAGTGAGGCAAGACCAAGCCTAGAGGTGACCGATGAGCTCCCAACTGCTGGGACATAAGTGGAGTTAGTGTCCAGTCCTGAACCTTAGCCACACAGTGGGCTTCAGCTTCAAGGAGTTTGAAGTCGTGTTGGGATAATATGCCTCAAGTCATTAGAGCAGTAGCTATTGATAGGCAGCCTGTAGGGCTGGATTCCACCCACAGACATTTTCAAATTTAAATTTGAAATAGTTGGAAAGTCATAAATATCTAGCTTCTCTTGAAAACAGAAAATTTCCCCACACTGGATCTACATTTCCATAAGGCAAAAGTTGGTGGCCACGCCTTTAGAGTCCCACACTCTCCAATGACACAGGTCCCACCTGAAATCTTCACATACTTGCTTTACCTGTCTCGAACCTGGAGGCAATTCAGCTCTTTAACTCTGATTTAGGGCACCATCTAGTGTCCCCTCCCCGCCCCCACCATCCTAACATTGTGTTCTTGGTGAATGGGAAGAATCTATGGTGTGGAGAAGTCAAAAGAGGCTTAAGGAGGAAGTGGGTATGAACCAGGTTGTCAAGGAAAGAAAGAGAAATGATGTTTGAGGTGAAAGAAGAATGGAGGAAGTCACCCTACAGAAACACATGGAATTTAGCACGCCTGTTCATGGCTGATGATCAGGCCAGGGCTGATGACAATGAGCAAGACCTGTGCGGTGGTGGGGGTTGGACCAGGAGGTGGGCGTCAGAGAACGGAAGAGGGCTGGGGACTGCCACAGGTGGGTAGGAGGTTTTTAGAGGCAAGACTTCATTTAGTGGGAATGGCCTGGAGTTTTCAAAGACTCATCTAAAATCAGAGTCCAGAGATATGAGGCTAGCCAGTTTGCAGGTGAGGAGGTGGGATGAGACACTGGGATTCTAGCTTTCACTAGTGCCCTGGGGTCTGTGAATACATCAGTCAGAGAGTTTCATCTGCCTTATGGGGGTGGGGGGAAAGAGGGTGCTTAGACTCCAGTCTCTGTGAAGACTCTTCCTGAGCAATCATTTCAATGGCCAAACCAAGATTGGAACCCAGGTCCTTTGACTTTGAACTTCTTTGAACTTAGTGCTGAACGTGATGTTCAGAATGGCTTTTAGGGTAGCTTTCAGCGACATACTCCAAGACACCCTGAATATGCTCTTAAACTATAATTTTAAAATTCAAACAAATAGCATGTGTTGAAATGCTACTTACTGTTGACTGTGTTTTCTCACATGTGGAAATTCTTTTTTTGTTCTTGCCTCAGATTGAAGGTGCATTTATTCAAGGCATGGGACTGTATACAATAGAGGAACTGAATTATTCTCCCCAGGGTGTTCTGCACACTCGTGGTCCAGACCAATATAAAATTCCTGCCATCTGTGACATGCCCACACAGTTGCACATTTCTTTGTTGCCTCCCTCTCAAAACTCAAATACTCTTTATTCATCTAAGGTAAGTTACGCTCTATGGGGAAATTTGCATGTTTATGTGATACCTGTTGGGTGATGGGGGGCAACATTCATCTCTTGGCTGTTTGGGGTTTTTACTAAGATTGCAGAAGAAAAATTCTTATTAAACATTTTAATTCTAATCTAACATCATGATAAAATTTTTAATATTCCAAATCCTAGAACCTAACATGAACTACTATTGCCATCAGGTTCTATCTGATTTTTCACCTTACAATAATCATCTTCATGACTAATAATTATCTTCTGTGTGTAGGTCATTTCTTTAGGTTAGAATTCTAAGAATGGGAATATTGGATCTAAAGATTAAATTAGTTTTTTAAACAAAAAATTTACATAGGCTGGGCACAGTGGCTCATGCATGTAATCCAAGCACTTTGGGAGGCCAAGGCAGGCAGATCACCTGAGACCAGGAGTTCAAGACCAGCCTGGCCAACCTCACAAAACCCTATCTCTGCCAAAAATACAAAAATAAGCTGGGTGTGGTGGTGCCTGTCTGTAATCCCAGCTACTCAGGAGGCTGAGGCAGGAGAATGGCTTGAACCGAGGCGACAGAGGTTGCAGTGAACTGAGATGGCGTCACTGCATTCCAGTGTCACACTTGGGCGACAGAGCCAGACTCTGTCTCAAAACAAAACAAAAAAACCCCACATATATCATATGTAATATTTTTATATATGCACATATACTATAAATATGCACACATATATAGAGTGAGAGAGAGAGGAATACTCTAGTTGGCGTGCTTCCCTTCAAGGGTCTGGGAGAGTCGGGGGTCTTCCTGGGATGTTCCGTGTTTTTCGCTATTCACGATGCGGTGAGTGCAGCGCGATGGGAAAGAGGACTACGCGGACCCTTAAGGCTTAATAGTCCCCTGACACCGGAGAAGATTAGGATGGCCTGTGAAGATAAGTTCACAAAAATGGTATGTTCTACCCACTAGAAAAAAAGCAATTATAAAATTCTGAATTTTTGGCCCCTGTTCTTGTGGTAAGATTTCATGAACTCATCACTGTGGCTTTTCTTGCCAGAAAAGGTGATGGGAAACTTGGGGGCATTTGCTCAGATGTGCAGGGGGGCCCTTGAACTTGTGCCCCTCAGGTTGCCTTTTTTCATCAGCCTTGCCCTACTTCGCTCTGTTCTATACCATTTGACAAAAGAAGGTTCATTCCCATCAATTGTATGTTCCTTTCCTGTTTTGCTCCCTTCCTAGGATACCTCGGTCAGGAACAGAAGTTAAGGAACTGTGCCCTGAACCTAGGATACCCAGGCCAGGAATATAGGCCCCTCTGACAGTCTGTCTCCACCTCAACCCCAAACAGGCACCAGGAAAGTGTGCTAGCAGGAACCCGTCCCCTCTGGTAACAATGCCCCTCCAAGCAGGCATCTCTACCCTCCTTGGATATTGTCAGGGACAGGGTTTTTAATAGTGGAAGAAAGTCATGTTGTTCAGTTACCCCCCTGACTTAGACCAAAGGAAGAGCCCCACCCATCTTCCACTCACACTGGCCCTTTGTGGTATCCTTCATGGTTTTCCCCAAGCCTCCCACAAATTGTTTCTTTACTCTGGAGAAACAGAGACCCACCCCACTTTGTGCTGGGCTGTCTTCAAGCGTGAGATGATAACCCCAGGAGCTCCCCGTTCCTCCCCAAGCTTCCTCCGCGCTTCACAGGCTGTTGTTCCCTGACCTGTCATGGCCTGGTTGCCCTCTGCTGGTGTTTAGCCTACTTTACGTTCTGCTATTTTTCACCTAAGTCACAAACATTTCCCAGGTTTGAACATCCAAATTTGTCTTTATCCTAGATTCCAAGAGATGAACCTGGATCCTATGTTCCTTGGAATGTGCTCATCTAAATCAAATGCAAACTTCTGGAGAAAATGGCATGCCTTCCCAGACGGCAGTCTGTCCTATCTCTGCTCAAAGATGTTAGATCTGAAGGATAGAATTTCCACAGTTCAGAAATCATCTGTGGTGTTGCTTTTCTATGGAGGTGATTCAGAGTATTCCATTTAGATTTGATAGGTATGCTTAAGCAATCTATAAATCATTTTCAATGTTATAAACACTAATTGGTTTCCTCTAGGGTGATATTCACCATTACTCTGTCTCTTCGATCCATCCAGCTAAATGGAATAGATATGACTTGCATGTGACTCATATTTGGCTCGTATCCACTAACAGAAATTATACTGTCTAGTGAAAGGCAATTTTCTAAATAATTTCATTACTAATAAGAACTGTGAAGTTGTCATTTTTTCTTTTGTCCCTTTCTGCTATCACCTTCCTCTTGTCAGAGTGAATATAGACACTGTATCTAAGTGGGACCAAAGAAAAAAATAGCAAACTTTCACCAAAGTTTTCATGAAAACAAAAAACTTTAAAGATTACTAGCAAGAAATTAAAAGAAAACCCCAGAATAGGATAAAATATTTGTAAATCATGTATTTGATAAAGGTCTTGTAACCAGATAAATAAAGAGCTCTTACGACTCAACAATAAAAAGGCAAGTAATTTAAAAATAGGGAAAAGAATTGCTGGATGGTACGGTAGTTCTTTTTACCCTAAATGCCCTGACTTGATCATTTAACAGTCTATGCATATAACCAAATATCACATGTACTCCATAAATATGCATAAAGTATCAATAAAATTTTTAATGGCCAGAAGATTTGAGTAGACATCTCTCCAAAAAAGATATATAAATGGGTAAGCATATAAAAATATGCTCAAACTCATTCATCATTAAGAAAATCCAAATCAAAACCACAATGAGCCACCATTTTATATGCACCAGGATGGTTATAATCAAAATTATGGACAGCAGGAAGTATTGGCAAGGGTATGGAGAAACTGGAACACTTATCCATTGCAGTGGGCAGTGTAGAATGATGTAAATACTGTGGAAAACAGTTTAGCATTTCCTCAAGGAGTTAAACATCGTTAACACAGAAGTTGAACATAGAATTACCATAACCTTAGGTATATACCCAGGAGAATTTAAAAACATATATTCACACAAAACCTTGTACATAACTCTTCATAGCATTATTCATAGTATCCCAGAAGTGGAACATCTCAAATTTCCGTCAACTGATAAAATGTGGTATATCCATACAAGGGAGTTTTATTCAGCCTTGTAAAGAAATAAAGTACTATTACATGTGACAACATAGATGAACCTTGAACACATTGTCTAAATGAAAGAAGCCAGGCACAAAAGGCCACATATTGCATGATTCCATCGATACAAAATATCCAGAATAGGCAAATTCACAAAGACACAAAGTAGATTAACGGCTGCCAGAGGCTGCTGGGAGCACGGATTGCTAACAGGTATGGGATTTATTTTTGGGGTGATAAAAATGCTCTAGAATGAGTGGTGATAATTTTACAACATGTGAATATACTTAAAAACACTGAATTGTACATTTTGTAAAGGTGAGTTTTATGGTATGTGAATTATACCTCAATTTTTTTTTTTTTTTTTTAGACAGAGTCTCACTCTGTCACCCAGGCTGGAGTGCAGTGGCACAATCTCGGCTCATTGCAACCTCCGCCTCCTGGGTTCTTGTAATTCTCCTGCCTCAGCCTCCTAAGTAGCTGGGACCACAGGCACATGCTGCCATGCCCAGCGAATTTTTTGTATTTTAGTAGAGATGGGGTTTCACCATGTTGCCCAGGCTGGTCTTGAACTCCTGAGCTCAGGTAATCTGCCTGCCTTGGCCTCCCAGAGTGCTGGGATTACAGGCATGAGCCAACACGCCTAGCCACCTCATTTTTTTAAAAAGTATCTGTGGAGAAAAATAGAAAATGTGGGGAAGATTGAGAAGTTGTGAGAATCAAGAAACCTGTCCCAATTAGTGGCTTTCCAAAACTATGGAAGCCCCAAAGGGAGGCTAAATAGCAAGACATATTCAAGGAAAAACTCCATTTCCGTTAGTAGCAAAGAGAAGTTACAAGGATATCTCCCTTTAAGAGATTTTCTCATTTATACCACAAGTATTTATAGAGCATTTTACTCTGTGCCAGGCACTGTACTGGGCAATTGGGATTTATCAGCAAAAAGAGACTCCTGTCCTTGGGAAGATCCTGTTAAAGCAAGGGGAGACAGAACAATTTTAAAGATAATAACAAATAAGCAAATTATGGAGTACGCTTGAGTGCTAAGGAAAGAAGTAAAAGTGGAGCAGGTTCAGGCCAGTTGAGAGTGATGGAGCAGGTGGCAGGCTGTGGTTAGAACAGGTCAGGGAAAGCCCTGCTTAGGACATGAGGATGGAGGCTGTGAGCCAAGCATGTATCTGGAGAAAGAGCATTATTGGGAAGACGGCACTACAGCAGAGTCTCTTGCGAGCAAGTGCACCTGGCCGGTTTGTGGAGCAGCAATGGGGCCCATGGGGCTAGCACAGAGCCAGGGATGGCGGCAGACATGTAGAACCTGGGGGCCATTATAAGGACTTGAGCTTTTAATCTGAGTGACTGCAGAGCAGAAGAGTGACGTGGACTTGCTTCTATTGCAAAGAGTCACCCCGGATGCTGTGCTGTCCTTTTGTCCCTTTGCCAACTCCTCCCCCTCCAGCCTACCTCTGTAAATGTCGGAATTCTCGAGAGAGACACGGCCTCTTTCCCAGGTTCTCTCCCTAGTGGGTGACCTCCTTTAGTCCCATGGCTGACTCTCTTGCTTACGCTCTAGCTCTGTAAACCCAACTCTTGCTTTTCATTGCCACTTGGATGTCTCAAAGGTACCTCAAATATGTCCCAAACAGATCTTGTTTGTACAGCCATCCACAGGTTGCTAAGCCAGAAATGGGGAAATGATCTGAGGTGCTCTGTTCTCTTTGCGCCCACATCTATCCAGACACAAAATCCTGTCAATACCACCCCAGAGACCATTCCTGAATCTGCCTCTCCCTCTATTTCCATAGCTGCTATGTTGCTCCAAGCCACCTTCATTTCTCCCCTGACTATTGCAATATCCCCCTCCTGATTTTCCTTCATTTATTTTGCTTCCCTTCCAACCATTCTCACATTGAAGTCAAAGATATACATGAATTTATGGGCATGCACACATGCACATGCATACACAAAATCATCATGTTACACTCTTGCCTAAAACCCTTCAGTGGCTTCCTATTCATCTCAGCAGAACAATGTCCCAAATCCCTAAGATGGCACCTGCACCCTAGGTTATCTAGTCCCGGCCTGTCTCTCCAACATTGGCTCATGATCCCTTCCCTTTTCCCATTTGGGTTTCTTGTTACAGTTCTCACTCTGAAGCCTTTGCTTGTGTCCTCTGTCTGGCGGGTTCTTTTTTTTTTTTTTTTTTTTTAGACAGAGTCTCGCTCTTGTTACCCAGGCTGGAGTGCAATGGCGCGATCTTGGCTCACCGCAACCTTCGCCTCCTGGGTTCAGGCAGTTCTCCCGCCTCAGCCTCCTGAGTAGCTGGGATTACAGGCACGTACCACCATGCCCAGCTAAATTTTTTTGTATTTTCAGTATGGACGGGGTTTCACCTTGTTGACCAGGATGGTCTCAATCTCTTGACCTCGTGATCCACTCGCCTCGGCCTCCCAAAGTGCTGGGATTACAGGCTTGAGCCACCGCGCCCGGCCTGTCTGGAGGGTTCTATCACTTTTACCCCTCCTTGGGTCTGACTGCCACTATCTAGTGCTGCTCTGCAGTTACAGGCACAAAAGTAACTTGAGGATCTTGTGAAAACACAAGCTTTAAGGTCAGGCAAGCAGAAGCTATACAGTAAGAAGGAAGCAGAACATCCAGAACCAAGCACGAGCAGGAGCAGGAGGAATAAGCCAGCCACAGGAGCAGGTATCCCAGACACAGTGACCCACACCAGTGTTTTACATCTCTCCCTCCACTCACACCCAGCACTGCTAGGCAGAGTGGTGTTAAGCTAATGGAGAAGGAAAAAGACAGAGCTGGGTTCACAAGAGGGTTGGCTTCATACAGAGGTACAATCCAGATATGTAGTGTTGGCAGTATAACCCCTTTCAGAAGTGACAAGGGGAAATTTTCCCAATGGGCAGGCCTTTGGGGAGCACACTGTCCATGTTATGTCTATGTGGAAAACAGGAGCGGCCCAATCCAAGGTTAGGATATACATGGAACAAATGGTTTGGCCAGCTGGTCAAGGGCCCAGGGTGGGGGAAGATTATAAGACTGGGGACAAGATGGCATATGAATGGGCATATGAAATACCCATGACAGGTGTAGATTTTTGTATCACAAGTTAACACCCAGCAGGAAGCTCCCAACATGAAACAGTTGCTAAACAATTAAGGGGACCAAATGACATGGCCATGTGATATTAGCCAACTCTGTCATCTGTCACTCCAGTCAGTGCTGACCCAATGGTGTCAGGGATGGAGGCTGTGCATGGGCCCAACACCATGAGCTCCCACTTGCCATGTAGCTGCTGCTGCTACTGGACATCCAGCTGCCCCCAACATAGGCAAAAGCTGGTCCCCAACTTGACACCATCCCTCTAGGAGACCAACTGGCCATTTGGTGGCAAGCTGACTACACTGAACCCTTTCTATCCTGGAAGGGGCAATGTTTCACTTTTACGTTTTCTGGATAAAGGTTTGCCCTTCCTGCCTGCAAGGTCTTAGCCATCACCACTATCTAAAGGCTTACACAGTGTTAGGTTAATCATCATAAGATCCCATGTAACATCACACCGGGCCAATTTACAGCAAAGTAAAGGGATTTGCTTTACAGCAGCCTGGGAGTGAGTGTGTGACTGTGGAACCTGCTGGTCATGTCAGATGCTATCCTTCTTGGAACAGCTGGTCTGACAGAGCAATGAAGTAACCTGATGCAGGCACAGTTGGAATGG